GCGCCCCCCATGATGTGGGTGCGTCACGCTTGCTTGATTATCTCCTCATCGGGGGTGTTGGTAAGGTGCAGTCATTATGGCGCTTTCAATGGGCTCCCAATGCGTGGATTTTACAATCAAATCCACTTATAGTGCTGAAGTTCCCCCCGAAGGGGAACGTTCGAGGTTACTAAAGTAACCCTTCGTTCCCCGAGGAGGGGAACGGAAGCACTATACTCCGTCGCCATAATGACTGTCCCTTAGCTGTTGAAAGTCTCTTCAGCTTAAAAAGGATAGCGTCTGCTGGCGCCAGGTGAGCTTATATACTCAGTTGATTGCTTATGCCGCTCACCTGCGCAGGCTTGCGCTGCCAATTCATTCTTAATTGGCCCGTTCAATACTCTTTCAGACGAGTAGCTTCTGAACCGAACCTCCCAATGCGTGGATTTTACAATCAAATCCACTTATAGTGCTTCCGTTCCCCTCCTCGGGGAACGAAGGGTTACTTTAGTAACCTCGAACGTTTCCCATGGTATAAATCATGTTCTTAAAGGTACAAACTGCAATGGCACAAATTTGTTTCTTTGTTTTAAGGTACAATTCTGTTCCATAAAAAAGGTGCTGCCCCAGTGACAAGGGTTTGTACCTTCTTTGGTACAACATTGTACCATTTTTTCTGAGAGTGTACAGCACTTCTTCATTTAGTTGTGTAAATTGCCTCCTTGTCCTCATTTGTAAGTCGCTTTGGATAAAAGTGTCTGCTAAAGGACTAAATGTAAATGTAAATGTAAGTAGGAGGGAGCAATAAATTCTCAATACTTTCTAAAAACATTCTGTGTAAAAAAGGAGCCAGTATTTTTAAAGTAATTAATAAATATCTGCAGACAACCCATCAGTTCCAGGGGATTTATCCTTAAACTGCGGAAGAATCTGTTGGCACACGTCAATACTCTCCTGACGGACACTTTCTATATCCTTCTCAGGAATTCTGTGGATCCTCAGATAGTGTAGGTTTCCAAATGCACCAGGCGTTGTTCTCATTCAGTGGAATTAACTTCTTCTTTGTGCGCTAGTCAGTAAAATCAACTCTTTCTTTCAGATCTTTAACCTCGCTGCAGATGAAGTCAATAGTTTCCAACTGTTACGATAACCAGCGATTGCTCTCCGGAGATCACTGGTTTCCACTATCATGGTGAACTTCACTTCCGCATTTCCCAGGACTACATATTCATACATGCACTTCTTTCAAACACGCACGCCTGCTCATTCATCTCGCTTGATTACACTCACCAGCTGAACCTTGTCAAAGACTGATAACACACCATACTTAAGCCATTTATGAACCCATCCAGTTTGCCGAGTCTTGTTTACTGTTAAGTGACATTACAACACGTTTTTCCCTGTCTTGTTTCGCCGTGTTTGAACCTAGCTTTGTATCCTTGTTATCCTGTTTAGCCGCCAGCCTTTCGACCTATTGCCTGTACCTTGATTACGACTCTGGATTTGCCCGCACATTCCTGTTCGTACCTGATTTGACCATTGCTTGCCTGACAAAGAATAAACCTGCATATTGGATCCCACCTTCTGTTGTGAGTGTCACTCCCCGGCGTTACACCAACACATCAGAGATTTTTTCAGTGTTCTTGCCGACCTCTTCCTTCATGTCTCTGATTATCAGGGAGTTTTCAACTATCAGTGTTTGTAATTCGTTTGATCTATTTGTCTCCAGCTGAAATAATTCAGAGTTGTGTGGAGACACTTGTCGCATCACTTTTGTCCGTTTTCCTTATTTTGACACGGGAGAATTGCACGGAGTGTCGGGTAGCGGCGGGATTACTTCCTCCAAGAGCAAAAGCTCAGAATCATCATTTTGCTCAACATAATCGTGCATGTTATGCTTCAATCCCCCGACTGCAGAAGCAGAGTCACATCCTTGCGATTCAAGCGAGTTACAGACCGTGTTCTAGAATTAGCAGCTGTGCTGGACACCGTTTTCCCAGACTTTTTTGCACTTTTTCTCTTTTTAGAACCACCCATTATTGTGATTGAGAAGCTTTAGGTAATAAAAAAAACATTGAACCATCAAAATAATGTTCTCACAATTCAGTAGAATCGCCAAATTAAGGTTTGGGATCGGGAGCCTCTCAAACAAGCGTGTGATCAGAGTGCCATCTAAAAATCTCTAACCATCATGCATCGTTTTATGACAGATTTCGATTGGTCTGCGCAGCACTGCATGCAGTTGAACACACCCTCTAATAAAGCAGTGAATAAGCCGAATTTGCCGAAAACAGTTTGTAAATGAGTGAGATTTAAAACGAGATAATGTCAGAAACATTTCACTAAAACTGTGAAAATGTGTATTTTCATTTAATGCATTTCCAGTGATTATATGACTTTAACTTTACTAAACTCTGCAAACATGTGCAGATGAATGAGATTTATTGGTACATTCAGAAAATACAAACATGTTAAAAATTGCAATTTTGCATTGACTATACTGTATAACAGTGGCTCTCAAACTTTTTTCATCAAGTACCCCCTCAGAAAAAAATTGTCTCTCCAAGTACCACTAAAATACAACCACAAAAAAAAGGTATGGTAAGTTGGTTAACTGACTATATCACTAATAGACCACAGTATGTTAGGATGCATAACTGTGTGTCACAAGTTATAATGAGCAGTACTGGTGTTCCTCAAGGAACGGTTTTAGCTCCATATTTATTTACATTTTATACATCTGATTTTCAATACAGCTCCAAAAATTATCATTTACAGAAGTTTTCTGATGACTCTGCAATTGTAGGTTATATAAGGAATCATGATGAGAGTGAGTATAGGTTGCTTTTAAAAAGTTTTGCTGACTGGTGTGATATGAATTGTCTTAATTTAAACACTAGTAAGACCAAAGAAATGATTGTTGATTTTAGTAGACATCCATCACAAGCGGTGCCTGTAATTATACAAGAGTCAGAAATTGAGATTGTTTCGTCATATAGGTACCTGGGTGTATATTTGAACAACAAGCTCGATTGGTCTGAAAACACAATCCAGGTGTATAAGAAGGGTCAGAGCCGCATTCATTTATTAAGATGACTGAGGTCCTTTGGTGTGTGTCGACACTGTTAAAAACTTTTTATGACTCTGTGGTGTCTTCTGTGATTCTGTATGCTGTAACCTGCTGGGGAGGGGGACTGTTGGAGAAGGAGAAAAACAAATTAAATAATTAAAAAGGGCAGGTTCTGTTGTGGGGGGTGCACTACCTACCATAGAAGAGATTGCACAGGATCGAATGCTGGACAAATTTGTCAGTATAATGAACCACGATAGTCATCCCCTTTATGATACCGTCCAAGCGTGTGCAAGCTCTTTTAGTACAAGATTAATTCAACCCCGGTGCTACAGAGAAAGATACAGGAAGTCTTTTTTACCAACAGTGATCAGATTGTATAACCAAAGTCATACCAGATGAATTGTGCTGAACTTGAATTAGATATTGGATATGTACAAGTGTTTACTCGTTGTTTTTGGAACCAAGGTGTGCAGTATGAAATGTAATCTTATTATTGTTTTTATATGTATGTAACTTATTTATCTATTTTTAGTATGGAGAGCTCTGCTGTGACATGTGAATTTCCCTCCGGGGATTAATAAAGTCAAACTAAACTAAACTAAACTAAAAATAAGCAGCATTGAAATACAGTAGCATAGTAGGCCCAGTAAAGCAGCTACAACTCTGCACAGTTAAAAAACGTGGTATATTACCTCAGAAATATAGGCTATGTGTCATACATGGCATATTATATACATAATTTTTGATCAATTTAGAAATGTGTGTAGCATGTACATGACATATTTCATTCCTCCGTGTACCACTAGAAGGAAGCCCGCGTACCACTAGTGGTACACGTACCACAGTTTGAGAACCACTGCTGTATAATATTATTTGTAATGATATTTTTCAAATGTATATCATATTCAGAATAGTTACATTGTCTCATTTTACATAAATATACTGCATCTATTTGTCACGATCACAAGCGATAGTAACCTTCAGAGAGTGCTGGATCTCACACTGCAACACTATGGACTACAATTCCGCCATTTCTGGACTACAACTTCACCCACACACACCTGCTTCCTCATTTAGACTGACTACACTCGCACCACCTGAGGATTACACACACTATATAAGCAGCACACTCACTCACTCAGATTGCAGAGTCTTGTTCATCTGTACAATGTGTTTCCTTGTCTTGTTTTCCTGTGTTTAGACCTGAGCCTTGTTAGCCGTTTGTCCTAGTCTGCCGCCTGTCTTACGACCTCCCGCCTGTTATTTGACTACGATTCTGGACTTCCTCTATACATCTGTTTGCACCTGTGTTGACCATTGCTTGCCTGACCACTGAATAAACCTGCACATGGATCCTACTTCAGTTGTCTGTGTCACTCCCCGTGTTACACTATTAGTGATCATGAACTTTATTTCACTCTTAGTTTGACATTTTATTTTCACAAAAGCTTAATCTGAAACGTTTATACAGACACATAACATCCCTTTAGTACTTTTAATTTGATGTGAAAGCTAAAAAGGTTTTTTCTACAACACATAAACATGAATATGATGTTAGTAAGAAGACATTAATAATACATTTCTATAAAGCAAACCATTACAAAACTATTAATATAATGAGCTGAACAGAGAGATTAATATTGCAGATTTCCTCAGTGTGTTAGTAATTCTCTGTCAAATAGAAACATAGTTTAGTTTATTGTAAGCTTTTATAAAAGGTGTAAAGAGTTTCCAGTTTTAGAGCGAGTTAATTTCACTGAAGACTCAAGAGCTTTAGTTTCTTTAGTTTCTTTAGTTTCTTTAGTTTCTTTCTTTCTCTCTTTCTTTCTTTCTTTCTTTCTCTCTTTCTCTTTCTTTCTTTCTTTCTCTCTTTCTTTCTTTCTTTCTTTCTTTCTCTCTCTCTCTCTCTCTCTCTCCTTCTCTCTTTCTTTCTCTCTTTCTCTCTTTCTTTCTTTCTTTCTTTCTTTCTTTCTTTCTTTCTCTCCTTCAGAACAGCTGCTTTGTCCTCTTTCCAGTGCAGTAATATTCCAGCTGTGTTTGTTCTGCTCTAAATCTCTCCAATTCTCCACACTAAAGTCCTGAATCTGCGCATTTGAGGGAAACTTGTGCTCCTGAAATGCTGCAGTGATGCTGCTGTGATTTCTGCCTGTTTGTGTTGATCTTTATTCCTGAAGGCTCTTTTTCTTCTTCTGCACACATTAAGCTCTTCTGCTGACGGCGGCGTAAGTCACTGAGTCATTACCATCATCATCCTGAGAAACAGATTCAGCTCATCATCATCATCATCATCATCACACACACACACACACACACACACACACACTCTGATTGTGCTGAATCTACTCACACTGGCTGATTTCTCCGGCTTTTTCCCAGCACAAGTGACCTCAGAATAAGTGACTGAATCCTCCGTCTGCTCCTAAACACAATGCAGAAGAGCAGAATCAAGCTGAATCCACTCAATCCGCCTGAAGATGTGGAGAAATCACTGATTTGGGCCACTCACATGGGCTCTGGCAGCAGGATTAATGGACATGTAGATTGTTTGATAGTGGACTTGATTCTCATCTTTGACCTTTACACAACAAACACTGCATGAGGGACACTTTACTGAGCTTTAAACACACTAAATCAATCAGTCCATCTAAATGACTGGCGTTACTGAACTCACCGCTGATTCACCGCTCGCTCTTTGATGAGCTGCTGAGGATTGAGGAGAAAACACTGACTGTTAAAGCACCTTATAAGTGTTGTGTAAAGGAACGGCAACATTACAAAGTGCTCAATGCTGCACTGATACAACTTATAGGGGGTTGCAAGAATTAAAATTAAAGTAGATGCGTTTATTTTTTAATAAAATAATAAATAAAAAATTAAATAAATAAATAAAAACCACGAGGAACACATTAAATAATGTGCTGTTGTATTGTCTGCAGTCAAAGTAAATGTGGAAATCACTTCTTTATTAGTGTTTGTAATTGGAGTAAATGTGAGACTCACCAGCTCTTCTTCTGCGCTGGATCAAACACAGAACAGCAGCGATGAAAACAGCCAAAGCAGCAGCAGAAAGCAGAACTGAAAGCACTGAACAACAGAAGCACTCAGTCAGATAAAGAGCATTCAGGACTACAACACACTAACTTAACACTGAAGACTGAAGATGATGATGATGATGATGATGCTCTGACTCTAAACTTATTATTCACACTGGGAGGATGAATATGATGATGATGATGATGATGATGAACACTGCATTCAGTAGCAAAGTGGGTCTTATTGGTGGGTTTTTCTGCTTGTGGCCAGCAGATGTCCTCAGTGCAGCATTTATAGTCAACACACAATCTAGTCAACACACACACACACACACACACACACACACACACACACACACACACACACACACACACACACACACACACACACACACACACTCTCTCTCTCTCTCTCTCTCTCTCTCTCTCTCTCTCTCTCTCTCTCTCTCTCTCTCTCTCTGTTCATCTCATTCTGAATGTTAAGCAGTATCTTCATCTATATTGTTATATGCTTGCTGTGAACGACTCCTAATGCACATATTTTGGTTAAAAGCAGACAAAATTATTATTGTAGTGACATCATCAATTACATCAATGACATCATCTTCATCATCATCATCATCATCATCATCATCCTGTATCTGTTATATGATCTGGTTTTGTAGTTGTCAATAATGTTACAGAATCAGGTTGTGAGAGTCGTTCATAGTTTAATTAGTAAAAATATTTCTGATATCTCATGAATACTCAATAAATAATAAACTCATAATACAGCACTGGCGTCTGTGAGAGTGTTCAGACCTGCTGATGAAGATCCTGCTGCTTGTGTTGTTGTGTTTGTGTTGTGGTCTGGAGTCACTGCTGCTGCTGCTGTTTGAGCTTCAGCTGTAAAAGATGAGCGTTAATATGAATCATAGCAGAACATCAGTTTAATAACTCATCAACACACACTATAACCTTTAGGTGTCTCTGCTGATGTTTCTGTTTGTGGTTTCAGCTCTGCTTTAGTTTTAGAATCTGGAGCTGTAAGAGAAAACAAAACACACAGAGTAGAGAGGTCCTGCTAAATAATATTAAGTGGTGGAGGTTTATGAATAAAGGTCAATCATAGATTAATCAGTCAGAAACACTCCAGATAACTCAACAATACTCATAATAATGCGAAATAAGTCATAATAAAGCACTGATGTCTGTTCAGACCTGGTGAAGAAGCTCTGGGGTTTTTTGATTTCTTGTTTTTGTTGTGGTCTGGAGTCTTTGTTGTTGTTGTTGTTGTTGCTGCTGCTGCTGCTGCTGTTGTTGTTGTTGTTGTTGTTGTTGTTTTTGTTTTAGCTTCAGCTGTAGAAGATGAAGGTGAATATGAATCATACAGTATCAGAACATCAGTTTAATAACTCATCAACACTCCAATAGTATCTGGATGCAGCCTTTATGATGTAAGCTGAGATTGCATCCCTCAGAGATGCAGTGTCAGACACAATACACGCAATGGAGCGAGTGACGTCACTGTGAGGGGTGGGGTTAGGGGTGGGGTTCTGTGAGCCCATTCACAAGCATTGCATCTCCAACACACACTATAACTCTAGCATTGTGCAGTGAACTTTTACTTTTACTGAATATCAAGATCAATATGAAGGCTATTATAGAGTATAAAGATTCTGTATTTATATTAAACATGTAGAATATCAGCAGTTATGAACAGACTCAGCGCTGGACAGTAAGTATGTCTGGATGAGCCGGGTCAGTGTGAGAGATGCTCAGACAGCAGAAAGGATTGTCAGTGCTGGATCATCACTACAGGTTATAGTTTAACCTGAACATTTATCAGTATGTGTGTAAATGAGATCTTACAATCAAGAAGCAGCACGACTGACACAGATAACAGTGTTTGAGTGAGGAAAAGGAAGCAGCCGAAAACATACAGAGAGTGAGAATGAGAGGATGATCATGTGATGTGTGACGTCACTGTGAGGGTTAGAGTTAGTGTCAGGTGTTCACATTACACGTGTGCATATTTGAGTGTGCATGTGCCAGAGACAGACCCTTTTCTATTGACCCATTTCCACTGAGTGGTACGGTATGGTTTGGCTTGGTACGCTTTTATGGCCATTTCCACTGTCAATAAGCATCCCGAACTGAACCGTACCAATTTTTAGGCACCCTTTCAAAAGGGTACCAAACAATAGAAAGGGTACCAAAAGGCGGAGCTAGACGCACAGCTGAACACTATTGGTTTACAGAGATGCATCATTCACTCACGCAACAACCCAGAATGAAAACAAAAACATGCCATGCTTAAAATACACAGCGAGAGATTACAGTAGAATTATATATACAGTTGAAGCCAGAATTATTAGCCATCCTGAATTATTAGCGTCCCTGAATTGTTAGCGCCCGTTTATTTTTTCCCCAATTTCTGTTAAATGGAGGGCAGATTGTTTCAGCACATTTCTAATCATAATAGTGTTAATAACTCATCTCTAATAACTGATTTATTTTCTCTTTGTCATGATGACAGTAAATAATATTAGACTAGATATTCTTCAAGACACTTCTATACAGCTTAAAGTGATATTAAAAGGCTTCATTAGGGTAATTAGGGTAATTAGGCAGGTTCGGGTAATTAGGCAAGTTATTGTATAATGATGGTTTGTTCTGTAGACTATCGGGGAAAAAATAGCTTAAAGGGGCTACTAATTTTGTCCCAAAAATGTTTTTTAAAAACCTAAAAACTGCTTTTATTCTTGCCAAAATTAAACAAATAAGACTTTTTCCAGAAGAACAAATATTATCAGACACACTGTGAACATTTCCTTGCTCTGTTAAAAATCATTTGGGAAATATTTAAAAAAGAAAAAAAAATCAAAAGTGGTGAATAATTCTGACTTCAACTGTACATATAATGACAAGCCATGGTCGAGCCGGGCTCAAACACACCTTGTTGTCGTCTTGATGAACAGCCACAAAGCAATGGAATAAAGCAGAATTACCCTGAGCCCCGTAGTTCTTTTACGAGCCAGTCTGAAGCACGAGCGGTTTTGCTTCCTTATTTGCGCTCGCTGCGCGTCTATATCTGAAATAACAAACTTCTTGAGCTGATGATGATGATAACGTGCGCTTGATTATTGACGTGCTTTTGAAACTCGATCCTGTCAGACACTGACAAACACGAGAGTGAAGCGCGGGAAAACAAAGGAGAAGCTGGAGCACATTATTTCTTCAGCAAACATGAACAAACCGTCTTGTTTAACATTTATCATCACCTTTTGGACTGATATAATATGAACTCAGAATGAGGGAATGACTCTCTAACAGAGGCTACACGTGCTGCTGAAGAGTAAAGACGCAGATGAGAGGTCTGCTCTGACCGGCCTATATTACCTGTTGCTTTTGAACCTAGGCAAGGCAAGGCAAGTTTATTTATATAGCACATTTCATACACAATGGCAATTCAAAGTGCTTTACATAAAGAAGAATAAAAGAAACAAGTAAAATAAAAATAAAAACAAATAATAAAAATGCATAAAAACAAAACAAAACATAAAAACAGGTAAAATGTGATATAAAAGAATGAAGAAGAAGAGAAAAACATGATAGTGCAATCTGTCGGACGCAGCACAGTGCTCATTCAGTAAAGGCACAGCTAAACAGATGTGTTTTCAGTCTTGATTTGAATGTGCCTAATGTTGGAGCACATCTGATCATTTCTGGAAGCTGATTCCAGCAGCGAGGGGCATAGTGGCTAAAAGCTGATTCACCCTGCTTTGACTGAACTCTTGGAACTTCTAGTTTATATGATCCTAATGATCTGAGTGATCTGTTAGGTCTGTATTCAGTGAGCATATCTGTGATGTATTTAGGTCCTAGGCCATTTAGTGATTTATAGACCAGTAATAATACTTTAAAATCTATTCTGAATGTAACTGGCAGCCAGTGTAAAGACCTGAGGACAGGTGTGATGTGCTCTGATTTTCTGGTTCTGGTTAGAATTCTGGCTGCAGCGTTCTGGATGAGCTGTAACTGTCTGACTGTCTTTTTAGGAAGACCAGTGAGGAGTCCATTACAGTAATCCACCCTGCTGCTGATAAAAGCATGAACAAGTTTTTCTAAATCTTCACTAGAAACAAAGCATCTGATTCTTGCTATGTTTTTGAGATGATAGTATGCTGATTTACTGACTGCTTTGACATGACTGTTGAAACTCAGATCTGACTCCAGAGTCACACCAAGATTCTTGACCTTATTTTTTGTCATTTGACCTTTAGTGCCAAGGTACGCATTTACCTTGAGAACCTCATCTTTGTTTCCAAACACAATAATTTCAGTTTTCTCTTTGTTTAACTGAAGAAAGTTTTGGCACATCCAATTGCTCACTTTATCGATGCATTGGCAGAGGGTGTCAATGGGGCTGTAGTCATTAGGCTGTAAGGCTAGGTAGATCTGAGTGTCATCAGCATAGCTGTGGTAGGAGATTTGGTTCTTTCTCATTATTTGGCTCAGAGGGAGCATGTAAAGGTTGAACAGGAGAGGTGCCAGAATCGAGCCTTGTGGGACTCCACACGTCATGGGTGTCCACCTCGACCTATGGTCACCTATACTGACATGGTAACCTCTACCTTCTAGGTAAGATCTAAACCATTTGAGGACCGTGCCAGATAGCCCAACCCAGTTTTCCAGCCTATCCAGAAGTATGCTGTGATCGACAGTGTCAAATGCAGCACTGAGATCCAACAATACCAGCACTGTTATTTTACCTGAATCTGTATTTAGGCGTATATCATTGATTATCTTTATAAGAGCGCTCTCTGTACTGTGATGTGCTCTGAACCCCGATTGAAAATTGTCTAAACACCCCCTGAAGTTTAAGAACTTGTTGACCTGGTTAAAAACAACTTTTTCAATGATTTTGCCAATGAAAGGGAGATTTGAGATTGGCCTGTAATTGCTCAGTAGGGTGTTATCCAGGTTGCTCTTCTTCAAGAGGGGTTTAACAACTGCAGTTTTAAGTGAGGTTGGAAAAATCCCTGATAGAAGTGAAGCATTTACCACTTTTAGAAGATCCATTTCTAAACATGTAAACACCGTTTTGAAGAATGATGTCGGGAGCGTGTCAAGACTGCAGGTTGATGTTTTCATAACTTGCACAATCTCTTCTAAGATTTTGCTGTTAATTGCCATGAAATCAGACATAATGTCTGATTTCTTAAGTTGTGGTTGAGCTTGTTTGATATCGACACAACTTGACTGATTGGATGAGCTGATTGCCTTTCTGATATTATTGATCTTATCAGTGAAGAAATGAGCAAACTCATTACATTTGCTTTTAGAGAGGAGCTCACTTGGAATCTGACTGGGGGGGTTTGTGAGTCTCTCTATCGTTGCAAAGAGTGTACGAGCATTATTTAAGTTGCTGTTTATAAGGCTTGAAAAGAAAGTCTGTCTAGCAGTGTTTAGTTCCATATTAAAGGCATGAAGACTGTCTTTATAGATATTATAATGGACTACTAGTTTCGTCTTTCTCCACATACGCTCAGCTTTTCTGCACTGTCTTTTCATCATTTGTACTCTCGGTGATCTTGTCCAAGATCCCTTTTGCCTGCCAGTCATCTTCTTGACTTTAACAGGAGCGATGTCATTTATGACATTCTCAATTTTAGAATTGAACAAATCAAGGAGAGCATCAACAGAATCTGCAGATATACTTGGTGCTAGCGATATGGCCTTCATAAACTGCTCACTAGTGTTCTCATTTATGCATCTCTTTCTGACAGAGACAGATCTGTCTTTAATAGCTGGAGTGATCAATATATCAAAAAAGATACAGAAATGATCAGATAGTGCCACATCCTTAACAACAGTTGATGAAATGTGTAAACCCTTAGTTATAAGTAGATCAAGAGTGTGTCCACGATTGTGTGTGGGTCCTTGAACATGCTGAGTCAGATCAAAAGTGTTAAAAACAGTCATCAGTTCTTTTACAGCATTGATTTCTGGATTATCAATGTGAATATTAAAATCCCCAGCAATACTAAAATAATCAAATTCAGAGGTTACTATTGATAACAGCTCTGTAAAATCCTCAATAAAAGCTGGAGAATATTTTGGAGGTCTGTAGATAATGATCAGTAAGATGCGTGGAGCACCTTTTAGTGCTATACTCAGATATTCAAAAGACAGATAGTCACCAAATGACACTTGTTTACATTCATACACATCTTTAAACAGGGCAGCGATGCCTCCACCTCTCCTATTAGCTCTGCAAACACTCAAAAAGTCAAAGTTTAAAGGAGCTGCTTCATTCAGAACTGCTGCGCTACAACTGTCATCTAGCCAAGTTTCAGTTAAAAGCATAAAATCAAGGCAATTTGTGTTGATAAAATCATTGACTAAAAGTGACTTATTATTGAGTGATCTGATGTTTAAAAGCGCTAACTTAACAGTTTTAGCTGTTTTTTCTATAGAAGTTTCAGATCTACATTTAATAGACACCAGATTTGAATGATTTGCTAAACGGCCTGATGAAGTCTTTGGTTTTCTGTCACTTAACACAACACATATCTGCTTAGAGAAAGCTACAGAAACACTGGGTTCCTGCTTGTTCTGAAAACATTTGATAAAGACACTGTTATCTAAGCAGGTCCCCGACACACATCACAGAGAGCTCTTGTGTTCACCAGCTGAAGATGGGGCGTTGTTGTTTGGGCCCTGGCGGTGTGATCGGAGGGCTCTTCCAGGTGGGCTCATAGGTGGTTGTGGAGCAGGCCGCTTTTTGGTTGGTAACTGGGGGCTTGCGGCAATGGAGTGTGAAAGTTTAGTTCCAGCACACACCAGTTCCTCCATCTTTTTTGAAAAACCCAAGAGTGGTGAACATTGTGACAATGAGAACGTGTCTGGTGACAGAGGCTGTGCATCTGGAGATTCTGTCTGCAGAAATATGTATGTATATATATGAACCTAAATAATGTCTGCTGTGTGTAGTTTTACTGGAACTGGTTACATAAAAAAGGGTTCTTGGTAGTGGAAACACAAGCCTGATAAAGGAGACCCGTACCGACCCGAACCGTACCGTACTGTACCAGTCAGTGGAAATGAGCCACAATATTATCCCCCATAACTAATACATGATCATGATGAATTAAGACAATACTTGTGGTTCAGTGATGTTAATGTGAGTTAAAGTGACTGATGTTCTGACCTGAATAGTGGACAGTAAACGTGTCTGAGGTCTTCAGTTGATTTCTCTGATAGACTCCACATCTCCACTGTTTATCTTCATCTTCACTGATGAGTGTTGTAGACAGACTGATGATACAGCCTGTAGAAGAGATCTGATATCTGGAGTCTGTGTTCAGATCAACACCAGCCTCATTCACCCAGGACAGATGAAGATCCTCAGAACTGAACAAACCATCACAGGAGAATCCAGAATACAAGACCAGCCGACAGGAGAGAGTCAGAGAGAGACCCGGACCAATATCAGATGAAGATGATGATGAAGATGATGATGATGGAGAGACTGAAAGTGAACAGAAGACACAAATCACTAATCATGAGCTGAAACACAGAATTCAGCCCTGATTAAACTGAACACATGAGGAGGAAATTACCAGCAACAACAAGCAGAAACACACGTGAATCAGCTCCATACTGGTGTCCTCCTCGTCCACTCCACTGCTGGCAGATGTAAATTCCAGCATCTTCTGTTGTGACTCTACTGATGATCAGAGAGCAGTCAGAGCCCAGATTCAGTCTCTCTGAGTTTCTCTTCTTTTCCCCTAAAGTAAACATTGCAACTGTTGCTGTCTGTCTGTCTCTGCTGTAGGTCCATGTAGTTCCTGATGTTCTGCAGTGTTGATCAGTGTTTCTACAGGGCAGATAAACAGTTTCTCCAGAACTGCTGAACACATGAGTCTCTCCAAACACACCTGAAACACACATACTATTAAATGTCATAATTTACTGCACGCTAACAATCAAAAACAGCAAATAAAAATGTTATTTAATCTTAAATTACATTCAGTAAACATCTTAGTGCTTATCATATTTCTCCAAAGTGTATATACTGTACTGTTAGACATATATCATCATATAAGCAGATGTAAATATTGTAAATATAAACACTGTAAAAATGTAATTTTTAAAATTGGTTTGTTTAATTCACTTTCTAAATCTCTTAAAATGAGCAGAACATTGCATCTGAGTTTAAAAGACATTTGTGTCATAAGAGTCTAATTTAGTTTTTTAAAGCAATGTAATTATATATACAACCATGACGGATTTTACATCATCTGAAAGCTGAATAATTTTTTCATTCAACTTCCCATTAATCTACACTTTATTATAATACGACAACATTTGTCCAAGAAACAACTGATTAAAAATCTGCAGAATAATGAGCTGAAGTGCTGAGTTTATAATCTTGTAGATGATGAACAGCAGTGTTTACCTGTGCTGAGTGTCCAGAAGATGAGCAGCAGAAACAGAGGACTCCTATCAGCCATTCTGTGTGTCTGACACTCGTCTTCTGCTTTATATATATATATATATGTTGAGCTCTTGTTTAAACAGCAGCAGCTCTTCCTGTGCTTCTGCAGCTTCCTCTCAGATCAGCCTCACTCTTTGTCTTCCTGACACTACACCAGTTTATAGTGGACAACTCAACACACTTCAGCCAATCAGCTCAGCAGCAGTGTTTGAGTTCAAGTCCAGGATTAATCTTGACATGAAGAATGCAGAAATCAACTCTTGACTGTTTTGAACTCTTCTGATGGGACTCAACATGTACAGAGACACAAACACAATCATCAGATTCATTTAGAAGAGTTTCAACACTTCATCCACTGTTGGTAAAGATGTGCTTATTTCTGGAGAGATGTTCTCCTCAATATTAATCTCTCTGCCTACTGAAGATAGATCTGTGTGTGTCAGAAAGAGACGTCTAATGGAGAACAGTGTGTGTGATTGATCAAGATCTGCAAACTCGGATCATTTCCTCCTTCATTTCACTCTAAAGTTAATAATGTCATTGTGGAGCGCTGTTCAAATCAGGAGGAGAACTGCAGACAGGGACGCACACAGACATTATTGAGGAGCTCGAGTGGGAAAACAGTGGACAAAACATTCATATATTAATATAATAACACAACTCCAACTCCAATACCAGATTATCTTAATAGAGTTAACTTGTTAATAAAGGTTCAGCGGGGGAACCACGCCTCACTTTCTCTCCTTAACCAATCACCTACTCCCTTAAACTTATTTAAGGAAGACCATCGCTCTAACACTGTTCTTATAACCCTCCCTCCCTCCATTTCCCTGCTTCCCATTCTCAATCCTTTAACCCTCTTCATGTAGGTTAAATCAGGGGGTCACTAATAATATCTGAAGAATGAACCCATAAAGCTCATTAAAGCACAGTGTGCTCCTTCTCTATGCTAGTTTCAGCTCTGTGTTTAGAGTAAATGATGACGAGTGAGCTGACTGACACTGTTTATATGTGCTTTTACAGTCTTTTAAGACTCTTTTCAGACACTTAATCTGATTTTAATGTTTATTCTTTGCTGTTTTAATAGTTTAATACATATTTTGTGATTATTAAGCACATTTACCTGATATTGTGCATTAAATGTGCATTAGATTTTCAGAGCTGTGATCTCACTCTTGTGGTTTACTCCTGTTGTTTTTGCGTGTCTACACTCAGTTATTTTTACCACACTGGTTTCACACATATTTACTCACACGCTCCAGCAAACCAGACTACATATGTGTTAAAGTCTTCTCAATATAAACTCCTGGCGTGGGGTTTTCTGAGAACACAAAGCAGAAACACAGAAAGAGGAAGAACAAGCAGCATTAAACTAACACTGTGTCTCAGAGCTGATGCTAGACTTCTAGGGGCCCTAAGTAGAGAGTGTGGACCACTGTCAGTGCTTTAATAATCACCACAAAGCTCTTCATCTGCCATTTTACAGCAGATTCATCAAACTACACTGAGCTGAAGCGATCAGCAACACAAGTATTCTTCTTCTCTGGTGGACTTAAAAAGGGTCTAAAATCAGTGATGATCTTTAATGATCTTTAATGGATCAATGATTCTCCAACTCTACACAGCAGCTCTGAGTCTCTGTTCATCTTTCAGAAAGCTCTGCTTCATCAACACTTCAACAACAGCTCTCACTATTCTACTGTACATCTGTCTGTATATCTGCTTGTTCTTCATCTGTCTTTAGTTTGTTATTATGAAATAAATGCTGAACTGATCTAGACTGAAATGCAGAGAGGTCATTTTGAGCACAGGTATTGATGTCTGTAACTGTGGGACGCTGAATGACAGAGTTGAGGATCCACGTGCAGTTTATTACACAAGAGTAGTCAGGCAGGCAATGGTCAAACGGGTACAAACAGTGTCAAGGGTAATCCAGAAGTGTAGTCAAGAACAAGTGAACGGTCAGGACAGGCGGCGAAAACAACAGAAACAAAACAAGGAAAAGGGTCAAAAGGCACAGAAAGACTAGACGAGGATAACACTTTGTAATGTTACAGGTAATCAGTGAACAAGACTCTACCAGAAGTGTGTGCGTGTAATCCATCAATAAGCAGCTCCCTTTGTTGTAATCAACGAAAAACCAGAACAGGTGTGTGTGAGGTGCATGACAGCATTTGTAGTCCATATGGTGACAGGATTGCAGTTCTCCAGTGAGAACTCTATGGACTAGATCGCTGATGATTGGGACAGAGTCCCCCTATAAAGGTGGCTTCCAGATGCTTCAAACACAAGCCCAGGATGGAGATGGAGCAGAGGCAGAACAGGTGAAGGGACGGAGGGCTAGGATCATGCAGTGGAGGAGTGCCTGAAGCATGGAGCTGCGAAGGGCCTGGAGCACTGAAAGACTGGAGCACAAAGATTCAGATCAGCACACATTGACCATTCATATGACCCCAGTTAGTCAGGAGGCACTGGTAGTTCATATAACCCCAGTGGGTCAGGAGACACTGGTGGTTCACGCAGCTCTGGCGACATTGGATCGTCACACAGCTCTGGCAACACTGGATGGTCACACAGCTCCAGCGGCTCTGGGAAGTCACATGGATGTGACAGCCATTCGTGGGAATCAGGTGGAGGCTCTGGTCGTTCTGGGAATTCAGGAGGATCTGGTGCACATAATTCAGGGGATTTAGCAGGATTTGGCACCCGCCATTCTGAGAATTTAAGAGGATCTGGCACCCCCCCCCCCACCCCCATACAGAAAACATTTGACCTCTGTCATTGCCAGCAAAAGGTATATAACAAAGTATTGAGGTGAAAATTTGTTGTGGACCAAATACTTAGTTTTCCCCATAATTAGCAAATAAATTCTTTAGATTTTATTTTTCTTATTTTATTATATTTTTAATTTTTTCATAGTTGAGGTTTACCTGTGGTGTAAATTACAGGCCTTTCTCATCTTTTAAAGTGGAAGAACTTGCACAATTAGTTGCTGACTAAATGCCATTTTGCCCCACTGTAAGTGTTATTACTGGTATATAAATTAGGGATGCACTGATATGGATTTTTTAGCCGATACCGATAACCGATAATACTTCAGACTTGGAGGCCGATAGCCGATATGTATAGGCCAATAATTATAAATATTTTAAATTGTTATGTTTTTATACAGCAAACTTCATAAACGATTGAACTGCTCTTATGAACTGAATAGTCTATACTCAAAGCAAAAGCAAAGCTATAACTTTAAAATTGCAAGGTGATTATAGACCTATATTATTCACGATTTCACATAAATCAGCATGCAAAAAATTATTTCCTTTTCTTCATCGCAAATTAAAATGCAAGTTGATTGTTGCATAAAAATAATAGTTTAAATAACAAAATGGTATTTAATTAACAAGCAAGATAAATATATTTAAATAAGATGAAAATGAAAGCTAAGGACTGAAACCAGCTCAAATGGTCATGAATAAAACATGTTACAGTGATGTACACATGTACAAATACGTCATGTCCGATAAAGCCTTTATCAGAGGTGTTTTGACCAAGTGTGCCGCAAGCCTGCGTTTGAGTGAAGGTCTCGGCCGTTAGATCGCCCCCTGGGGGCTGGCTGCAGTACAAGTCATAAAGCCCGCCTCCTCCGTGTTAATGAAGGAGACTTGAGCCCAAATAAAAAAAAATATTACACTTGCAATAAAATGTCCTGAAAGATGGTTCAGGTGGATTAAGGCACTGATTATTGTGCTGAAATAGGTGCAGATCTTCATTTGTGTAAACAGTTTGTTTTTAGCAGTAATTTAATGCTGGGCGTGTCATCGTGATTGACAGCTGTGATTGACAGTTTCTCAAAGCAGCGCGTCTGAGCTTCGGCAGGAGACTGAAGTGTTATTATTCGATTTCTGTGTTATTTTACCATGACAAAATGAGTTCAGCAGTAAACTACAGTTTCTGACATACATGATCTGGTGGAACACTGTTTATTCGCTAAGGTCAGGGCTTTTTTCGGGCTTTATTAGTTTGCTGATACACGTCTAACCACCCAGATGGCAAAATACACTCGGGCCAGTTCCGGCTAGATTCTCGCCTGCCGGATACTTACCCCTCAGAGCTCAGACTGACTACCTCGTCTGGACCTACTCCGGATGCCTGGACTCACTGCCCGATTCCAGCCCGAGTCAATCGAGCCAGATGCGGCGGCCGAGCGAGCCGGCACTGCCGCATGCGAGCCGGAAGTAGCCGGCGACGCCGTGAGTAGGTTATGCGCTGCGGCCCGGAGCTGCTGCGATTAAATATATATAACACTCATATTTGTTAACGTTATCACATCCATTTGTGTTGATATGACAGCAAACGCATGCTGAGAAGTTGGGGGGGCGTGGTTGATTTTACATAAAGCGTTTGGTTGGAAGCTCGACTCCGCTCATTTTCGCGGCTCCTCCTCTGGCTCCATCAGACAGTCCTTCTGCGCATGTCAAGGCTCCAATTTCAGCAGTCTTTTGCGACAGTTTGTGCCCGTCAAGCAGGCGTTTTGCCCTCAAGGCGTTCAATGGGAAAAGGGGCTGTCGCGTCGTCCATATTTTTTACAGTCATTGGTTTTGACAGTTCAGAGCCACCGTACAAGCCAACAGCTAAATACAGAGAGTACGTTTAGAAAATGCGGCACAGATTCATCCTATTTGGCGTTTTGACATGTCACATGTAGCTGCTGCTTGTCAATCAGACTGTCTGCGCTCGTTCTTGCCGTCAATCGCAGGAAAATGATCGATGAAAAGTTCATAATAAACCACTGACAGTTTTACTCAACTGTAGAGGCAGAGTCGCCATCAGAGTCTGATTTACATACAAAACCTGCATTGAGCTGACTTCATGACAAACACAGAGCAGAATATAAAGACAGAATCAGCGGCTAGTTAAGAGCCCCTTTGACTGGATTCACCTCTCGCCTCTCCCCCGTGCTACAATGTGTGTGTGTGTGTGTGTGTGTGTGTGTGTGTGCGCAGTGACAGCTCGCGCGCTCGTTGTAATCAAAATGAATATTCAGATCAAACTGAATACAATCTTACATCAACAACACATGACCAGCAACGCGTTGATAATAACAAATAATCATATTACAAACAACCGTTATGTTTATAGGTGTTGTAAAATGTGCGGATGTGCGCAATGAGACCAGTTTCTGTGATGTTCCCTCTTTGGTGACTTGGGGTTGTACCACACAGAAAGTAATAAATATTTTGGACCAAGTTACATGTGTCCTCTTTCATTCACCAGCTGCAATGAAAAGAGTTCACCCCGAAACTAATATTATTCGGCCCTGGAGTAATAAGTGAATCTCCCCTGATATATCTAACACAACAAAGAGACAGGGCAGGAAAGGTTTACTCATGTAATATTTTTCCTGAGGCGATTTAAAGCAAAATACAC